GCCTCTCCCCATCTTGTAGGCCCCCTTGAGGTACTGGTGAACTTCCTCTCAAGCTGAGAATTACTGTTGTCCAACTCATTTAACGTCTTTGCTGTTGATATTTCTCTCATTACAGCCTTCGAATTCTTGCACGGTTGATGACAGTTAAATTCCTGCATAGAGAAATCAGAGAGAAAGGAGGGGCTTATGGTGGAGGTGCTAAACTTAGTCACAATGGCATATTCACTTTCTACTCCTACAGGTAACAGTAGGTTCATTCTTTCCTGTTCATTCTTTTCATGTGTGAGGGACCACCGACTGCACTTACATGTATTTTTTTTGACTTAGTTGTAGCTCTCTTTCAAGATCAAGTGAAATAAAAAGAATGTTGAATCACAGGAAAGTGATTCAGTGCTGATGATGATCAGATTAGTTGCTTAAGGTCTGTCAGTTTTGTTGACAAATCCCTCCTTGCTTTCTCTTGGTTTCTGTCCTTGGGAAAGCCTAACTTGTCTCTGCTGGTAGCAACAGTTGTTTTATCTCTGTACTTAGGTGTTTACTGTCTTGGTACTAGATTTACATACAATTGGCTTTCACTTGTTTCTCCTTGGGTTGAGAAGGCCCTATAAAAGAGAATCCAAGACTATTCTGAATTTGAGACCAGGAAGTAGAATGATGATGTTCCCTAAGGTCCTGGTTTTGAAAATAGGCAGCTTCCTGTGTTGACTGGCTGGAATCATCAGAGATTCAGCAGAGAGCATTGCTGGTGATGAGCTAGAATTGCTTTTTTTTCTTTTCTTTATTGTCAGTCTGGAACGGTTACCTTGCATTGGTCTTAGCAAAGCACTTTCAGATTAAATTTGAACTGCAGGTATTAAAGACTAGTTTATAACCCCTACTAAAACCCCTACTGGAGTCCTGGCTTAAATTGTTTTCCTAAACCAAAGGTAATCTAGCATAGTACTTGGTCAGGCTTCCTAGCTAAAATGTGAGCAGCCTTTCCTCTCTGTGAAGCTTTGACATGGTTGGTCTTGTCCTAGTTAGTATTTCAGTAGTTGTTAACTTGTTGCACCTGTTTTACAGAGAGCAAAAACAGGTGTAGCAGGAAGAGCAACTTAAAGAAGATTTGGCATATCATAAATATTACTGTTGTTGATATTAGTGGCAGTGATGTTTATTTAGCTGTTGCAGCAAATTGATAGTGCGTTGTAAAAGTGCTGGTTTAGCATGTTTTTTGTACCACTTTTCTGAACACTGCCTTAGAACTATTTTTAGGCAACTGAACTTTCTGCACTTGAGTATCTAAAATTCAAAATATGCCTGGATTATAGCACTTCTTTCTTCTAAAAAACCACCCGAACCCCAAACTCTCTTTTTGCAAACAGAAAGGAGGTTTATAATTTGGTTTAATCCCCATGTATGTGTGATGCGTAGTAAACTATGAGAACAAAGCAATTGCAGTATTTCATTTTGAAAGACTGAAGTAATTAACTTTTTTTTTTTTCTTCTAAGAGACCCAAATTCGTTAGCCACCTTGAAAACATTTGAAAAAGCAGTTGAATGGGCCAAGTCTGGAGAATTCACACAACAAGATATCGATGAAGCTAAGCTGGCAGTGTTTGCTGCTGTCGATGCACCAATAGCTCCTTCAGATAAAGGTATATTCTCAGCAGCCTCGCAGCACTGCCAATATTTATATGTTTTAAATGAAGTTTAAAGGGAAGAAAATAGTTTGCTCAACTGTATGATGTGATAAAATTTGTGTTTAGCAGATGTAAGACCATTGCAGTTTCAACAAAACAGTCGATTCCTATTGCTCCCTGTCAGAAATACCACTTGCATTCAGTCTCTGTAATGGAGTTTTCGTATTTGTTCTGCTCCTTGATGTCAGGTGAATACAGCTTGAAGATGGAGGTAGATTAAAGAAACAATTTTAGGGTTGGAAAGAGCATTAGAGGCAAGCAAATACAAACAAACTCTGATCTTCTGAGTCAAAAAAAGTTGAAGGGTTATTTTCGTGACACAAGGATACATATTGACTATGAATCTCTCTAACCTTTTGTGCATATTTCATCTGAAGAAGTTAAAGCATAAAAGTGTCTGCTACAGTGGAGAGTGTTATATTCTTTACATATCTGCATACTTGTGATGGCTTGGTAGTATGCTCACATCTTTTCAGTTTGCTCACACATTGCTTTGCTTTCCTCACTTTTCCCTCCCTCCTCCATTCTCAACTTAGTTTCAGTCCAAAACTTGCTAAATTAGAATACATTCCTATACGTAAAATAGTTGTAAGGTTAAAAATAGCACTATTTTAATATGTACTTGTATTAACACTAACTTATTCCACAAGAAAATTTAAAATGAGGCTGACTTTCAGCTGATGGAACTTGGTTTTTGTTTGGGCAGTGCAGAAAAAGCCTAATCAATTTTAGGGGCAGATGTGAGTGAAACGCATACTGAATGTTGCTATTTGTGAGAAATGGTACAGATCCTTTGATATTGAATGTGCATGTTAACAGAGCAAGGCAAATTTAGTGAAACACTGAACAGAAAGAAGAACATTGTTCAATAGCCCTGGAAGCTGCTGCAGAGAGAAATACCTGTCCCTCCATGTTACTGTGATGCTGGTCATTGGGCCCTGCGTGAGGACTCGGACAACCTTCTCTACCTTTGAAGTCAGCCCTGCTTTGGGCAGGGAGGTCGGGCTAGTTGACAGATATCCTCCCAAGCTGCTTTTTTTTTCCCCTCTTTGATTATTTGCATGACAAAAAGTTTTTCCGTGATTATTTTGGAGTTCTCTGGTTGTTCACAGACCTATAATACTGATTTTAACATTAATATTAAAGTACTGTAGGCAAGTATTCCAACAAAAGCATTAAAGCATTTGTGTGCAAATTTCTGTGCGTAGTTACAAAAGGCGATCAAACCTTTGTCTTGCATGTATATTACAACTGATAGCAAATTTAAGAGTGTTGTTATAAACCACAATAAAGATAGAAGCTTCATGAAATCCAGTTTGGCTAAAACTTTGTGAGAAAATACTGAGGCTCTTCAGAATGAATCACATTAGGGTGTTTTAGGTTTTCTGGACCACTATTACGTTTAGATTTTTGACAAATCACTTGCCAGAATAGAATATGAATCTTTTTTTCCTAAACATGAAACTCTTACTACCTGATAAAATTTATTTACCCACTTCTAACCTTTGACATGCGATTTACAGTTAGATATTGTCTCAGAAAATGTCCTAACAGTAGTCTCTATTTTTCCCTTCTAGCACGTGTACCTGTCTTTGTTTGCACTCGTTCATGCACTTAGTTGTAACTGAGATTCCGGTACACCAGTGCACTGCATGGCTTGGTTTTTTTTTTTTTCCTAGGAATGGATCATTTCTTATATGGGATTTCAGATGAAATGAAGCAGTCGCACAGAGAACAACTTTTTGCTGTCAACAGTGATAACCTAGTTGATGTATCAAACAAGTAAGTCTGTGTTCAACTTAAGAAAACGTTTACTTGAAAAATAGACCAAATACCTAATTTGAAGAAGAAAACAGTTTGGGAAAGTCCTAATAAAGTTCTTGGATTCCTTCTCTTGGCCTTTCATACTCTTTTCACTATTTGGTTTCTAACTTAGAGGGATGGTAGTTATATCCTGCTTACTGCATTTTAGCAGATGTAACTCCTTTCTATGTTCTGAGTTTGTGGGAGATTGTTTTACTTTTGAAGGGTCCAGAAACTGTCTGGAGAAAGAGTAGACTCGGACATCCACCTCCTGTATGAGCAGGCTCTGCTACACTCGTAACACTTTGTGCTGCTTTAGACTCTGAATGCCAAGGTTAGACTTCTGAATTCCACTACTGAAGAAGACAAGGCTGAGGACGTAGGCTAGTTAGGGCTATGCCTAGGGAGAGTTGTATTGTTATAATGGGGAAAAAAAACCCAAATACTGTAAATCCAAAAGACGCTGTAAGTAGCAAACAATGGATACGCATCAAACAGCACTTTTCCTGAGAGGAGTGTATTTTTAACTCATACAGTGGAGTTACAGATAACTGATTGCAACAGCTTCTCATCTGTTTGTTTCTTGCAGGTATCTTGCAGTTGGGAAGAGCACTCATGGTCAAGCTGTACTTGGCCCAGAAAATGCAGATATCACCAAAGATCCCTCCTGGGTCAAACGATGAACTGCTGCTGAACATTCAAGCCAATACAAAACAAGCCAATATGTGTGACTCTATAATTAGTTTATTGTGCTGTGGTCCAACTAACTGCTAAAATTTGTTCTTCTTGAAATAACTAGGTGAAAAATTTTCTAACCATACAGTATTTGAGAGCAAGAATGATCTGCTCTGTTATGGCAAAGACAGACCTTAATATTTTACCGATGACTCACTCCTCCAATCGTGTATGAATACTATATAAATCAAATATTTTTGTATATGTAGAACTCTTGAGTTTTAAATGGTGTTTGTGTGAAATCATGTCTGCTGTTGGATATATAAAGAACTACGTCTCTCGTACTGACAGATTTTGTTCTTTGGTGTTTTATTCAGCTTCCTTTGTGTAAGCCACCTAGACAGGGGAGCTTTGTGACAGTATGTTCCACCTCACATCAAGTCAAGCGTGTAGTAAATTGCAGTGTAGTGGGCAAATCAGTCATGAATTGGTGTGGAGTTGCAGTTTAGCCCAGCTGGCAGCTAAGCTACCATGCAGCTGCTTGCTTGCTCCAGGACCAGATTACCCACTTCCGAATCTCAAGTTGTTACAGCTTTTCCCCCACAAAAAGTATTTTTATCATCCCTGTACAAGGAGGAAGGATGCTGAGGTCTAGCCTAATCCTGAAGAAGCAAGGGAAAGCTGCTTGCTCTGCCATGAATACTTACTGCCTAGTTAGAGGAAAGAAAAGGCAGTTGCTTTGTTCCTTCACTGGAGAGTACAGAGAATCCTTTGTGAAGCGTTATTCCCCCAATTGCCGAAAAGCAGGTGAATGCAATTTCTGACAAGTCACTCGTGATGTTTGTTTGCAACAGTACTTTATTTCACTTGAGATACATTAAGCACATCCTGTAACTCAACACAAAGCTAGTCATCTACACTTATTTTTGGGGTGTAAGTACTCTGAAACAAAGTGCAGTAGGTGAGTAACTTACAGAGTGCATAGAACGGTGTTGCACTTATCGTTAAAGGGTAGAATCAGTACATGGTGCTTATCCATTAGATGCTAGGGTTTGTCTCAAAGGTAACACAAATACAGGACAAAATCTGTGTGACATCCCAATGTCTTGTTTCACATAAAGTGCTGGTACAATAATTTAAATGTTACAAAACAAAGCTGTAACGATTCTAAAGCATTGTTACTCACAATGTGCATCTATTACAATAATCTAAAAGTGATCTCCTTAGATGGCTCCGGTTTCTGCTTCCTTTGGGCTGTGCATAGCAACATGCTCCAGCTGGCCTGAGTCGGAAACATCGTAACTAGTCTTGTACTTGGCCAGGATTTTCATCAGTGGTCGCAGCTTCAGCCACCACTGCTCCTTGGGAATCCGGTGTCTGTGTGGTGGGAGGAAAAAAAAAGATAAGGTGATTTATTTCACAGCTAAAACAAACACATTTTGTAGGTTATTTGACAACACTTAACAGTAATGGCCTTCCTTCCTTATAAACAGCACCAGATAGACATCTATGGTGTGATGTAAACACTGAGCCAAATGGGGAGAAATAAGGATGGAATACCGAAGGAGCAAATAGATTTTACTATAAAGATGTTCTTTATAGGTAAGTATAATACCAAAGTGGGCGCAAAAATGTTGCCCCACTAAACTATCAGAAGTAAAGTAATTCTAGGCATTACAGCAAAGACAATTAGGAGAAAGATAATTAAAAGGACACTGGAGTGCCACAATTCATAACAAGAGACTTCCAAGTATAAGGAGGCTAAAGTAGGAGATCACAAAGGGAGATGCTAGAAAAGGCAAGTGAACAATCAAAGTGAATCCCTGGCTGAATGCAGGCGGAAGACAGAAGCAGAGTGAAACGGTTGGCATACACTGCATGTCAGCACCGAGGAGCAGCTCTGTGTAGTGTGGTGAAAGGAAGCCTGTGCTGAGATGTTCCAAACATAAGCAGCCTATACGTACACAAAGTCTGTTTCAGTCTTCAGCTCAGCCACGGGTTGGAAGACAAGGTTCCGTCTACGCATTCCCAGCAAACAAACCGAGTCATCGGTATTGGCAAATACTTTGCCTAAAAAGAATGAAATAATTCAAGATCTTTCTTACTCGCATTTGTAAGGGCAAACACCCTTTTTCTGTAATTAAATTGAATAGGAATTTTACAGTAGCTTAATTCCAGTTACTGCATATTTAACGTAATGATAAAACATTAATTAGTACTTTAATAGTGTTAAGAGCTCTGCACTTTTTAAATATAGCTTTGATGATTAGCAATGAAAATAGTGTAATTAAGCAACAATAAGACTGACTTTTAATATCAATTTTAAATTAGATTTTAGTAAATAGTGCTTTACAAATATTCCCAAAGAAGACATATTACCTTCTTCTGTATCCCATGTAGCCACCATGAAACAAAAAGGAAGAACAGATGTAACTATATAACCATCAATTCCTTCATGCATGAAAAACTGCAGTCACACTAGCATTTTCTTAATGAAAGATAAGAAAACAGCTATCTGAATTATTGACCTCACTTGAGGGGAAATCTTACAGCAGGAAGCACAGCAAGGCACTACTGAATAATACAAACATAATCAAGAGGGAAAGAAGTGTGTTGACAAACAAACTAATATACATTCATGTATTTGCACAGTAGAGTGGTCTTACTGATAGCTCATCAAAGACAGTAACAAGAGAGAGCACCAAGTATTCCTGCACCTTTTCGGTAGGTTTCTTTCAGTTTTTTGGAGATCCACTGCATAGCTTTTGCAGAAATTTTCGTCCCGAAGTTTCTATCAAATGGTGAAGGTGCACCACCCTGTGAAAATTGAAATGTGGGTTAGTTTACTTATTGAACCATTATTTGTGTTTTCTTATTTTATCAGTCATTTCTTTTAATGCTCTACGTCTTATGTCCACTTCCCCCACTTGGAAAAAACAAGCCAAAAACCTCACCACACAATCGGGCTAAAACATTTCAAATCTTCCTTAAGCACCTGTATTATTGAATCAATAACACTTTTCACTTAAATAAAGGGAGGGCACTGTTCCCATTTCCCTTTCTTCCACTTCCCCTTAGTGCTGACCATTAAGCACTGCCCAGCTGCCACAATGCCAACAGGGCAGCCTGGTTTCAGCATAACAGAAACCAGGAAACTGTTGAAGAAGAACAGAACCTAAGTGCTGACTCTGTCATCTAGGAAGTCTGGGAAGCACAGCTTTATTGCAGAAAGAACGAGGAAGGCCATAATGTCACGCATGTTGTATGAGGATGAAACAACTGCGTTAGGACTTCCGACACCAGTAATCATTTTTTGTTTTGGTTTGGTTTTTGACTGCTTTCATTCCAAGTATTACAGCAGCCTTTATGCAGAATTGGGAACAGAAGTGGTGTTTTGTTTTGGTTTTTAAACCCTCCGTCTGTATTATGTAAAGTCTGACTTTTCTGTCCGTTTTCAATGCAGCAGACGGGAGCGAGATGGTATATGAAGTGGTTCCAAATCGTTCCCAACAGATTGTTTGACTAATGCTGGTCTTGACCTTCAAAATAAACTTAGCTAAATTTTACACAGCATTGTGTAAAACCTCAGCGTTAAATAATCTAAAAATATATGAGTAAGGGGAATATACAGACCACTTCAAATGACTTAAAAGGAGAGACAGTCGTTTCACTACTAGTACTTGAGAAATTTGGCTCTACATGTATTTTTCACTCTACCTCAGTCTTTGTGATTAGTGTAGCCAAATTACAAACTTACTATTTGTACACTAACAAGCAGTTATAGTGAGATAAAGTGACGCAAGGTACAAAGACCACA